AATCATGGAGTTTTAATCTATTCTTTTAATATGTAATAACCATGTATATTTAAAATTTACATGCAAATGTGATTGATATGCACATATAAGTACATAAAAACATATCTTAAATTTACTGTTTGTAATATAATTATAAAAATCTACCTATAATGACAACCTTACTAATAATTCCTCATATAGTTTTAAATATATATTTCAAAATTGAAACAAGCATTTCTATTATTTTCAGAAAGATTGATGCTAGATTAGTTTTGTTGCAGAATGAATGGGAAGGAAATAGTGGACAATGGGGTTAGTGGGGCGGCACATTCCCAAGGTCACAGCCCCAGGAAATAGTCCACAGCCCAGTTCATGGCCATGAGAGTCCCTGAGCAATCTCTGGTGTACGTCCAGCACATTACAAAGTGTGGCCATCAAGAAAGGATAGACCTTGGAATCTTTGGGAAAGTTTGGCCCATGATATGGATATTTATGAAAAGTTTACAATAGTTAAAAATTATTAGTTTAAGAATCTATGTCATGTTACCATGTTAGTGCCACCTATGCAAATTAATGATACTGGATAGTTAATAAAACTATCCTCATACCCTGTCTCCTTTCTCTGACGCTTAAGGTGATGGAAAATATGGTGATATGGATTTTAAACTTGATTTTTAATTTTAAATTGTATATATTTATGTCTAGATACATGTTGAAAATAAAAGTCTATTTTCGAATGATCACTTCTTGATTTTAAAATTTTATTAAAACATCTGTACAAATGGGCAGAGTTATTATACTACTTTTGTTTTTCTCATTTCACATTGATTAGCATTTTATTGACAGCATCCTACGCTATTGGTAGTAGTTTGATTTACAGAAGCATTTTCCTATTATTGACCATGTTGGATATTTCTAATTTTTCACTATTATAAATGACACATAAATGACTATTATAAATGACATGACATCGTCTTCCATTATAAAAGTTACACCACCTTAATTTAAGCAAAAACCAAATGAGCAAAGGGGAAGAGAGAGAGAGAGAGAGAGAGAGAGAGAGAGAGGCAAACCAAGAAACAGACTCTTAATTATAAAGAACAAAGTGATGGTTACCAGCGGGGAGGTGGGTGGGGTGATGGGTGGAACAGGTAAAGGGGATTAAGGAGGGCACTTGTGATGAGCATAGGGCGATATAGGGAGTGTTGAATCACTATACTGAACATCTGAAACTAATACAGCACTCTATGTTAACTAACTAGAATTTAAATAAAACCTAAAAAAAAAAAAAAAAAACCAAACAAACCCAAACCCAAAATACCTTAGCTAAAATATTCAGAGGTATTTCAAGCAAAAGAAACTACAGGAAATCATTTGTTTTAACTCCTACCCTTCCTGCAGGTAAATTTATTATTTCTATATTAAAAATGAGCCAAAAAGTATTCAGTCTACTGACTTTTGCGCAGTATTCAATAATGCTACCGTGTTCTGATAGCTCATTATCTTATAGTATCTTGATACATACTTGATACTTGAGCATTCAGTCTGGAGTATTCACAATGTATCAGATAGTATAAATAAAATATCAGTTCTTGGGGGAACCCTAGTAGAGCTGGTTAAATAATATGTCCCACATGATAGGTCTACCAGAACATGTGAATGTGACCCTATTTGGCGGGGGTGGGGGATGGTCTTTTCAGATGTACTTGAGTTAAGGATCTCATGATGAGATTTATCCAGATGGGCCCTAAATCCAATGGCAAGTATCCCTGTGAGACAGAAAAGGAGAAGACAGAGATACCGAAGTCCCAGACCAAGATGCAGAGGAGAAGGCTATGTGAAGAGACAGAGGATAAAGTCACGCGAAGTCTAAGGCAGAGACTGAAGCTGCGCGCCTATAAACAAAGAATACTTGGAGCTGGAAGAGGCAAGAATGGATTCTCTCCTAGAGCTTGTGGAGGAAATGCCCTGGTAACACCTTGAATTTTTACTTCCAGCTTCCAGAACGATGAGAAAATACATTTCTGTTGTTTGAAACAAACAGAAAAAGTGACACCACCTTATTTCACTTTTAGAATAATTTTTTGTTTAGGGTGGGAGTCACTACTATAAGGAATAAAAACATGTTTATGATTCTGGAAATATTTACAAAAATATTTTCCAAATGATTCCATAATGAGAGTTTCCCTGCGATTTTAGAATTAATATAATTTTAAAAACCAACACTTTAAAGACACATTTTATCTCATGATAGATTAACGTTTTCAGCTTGCTTTGTGGGTGTAAACACTGCTTAAATATCACTCTGATATCAATATTTCACATCTTCCTTCTGGATTGTACATTGCAAAACATAGGCATAATGACTATGTCATTTGACTCTTGTGAGCCATCAGCTTGAACAAGCGTTACTAAATCTACTTTATGGGAGAGGATGCTGAAATTTAGTGGTTTTATTCAATGACACATGGGTGTTCAGCAATGAAGCTGTAATTGCTAGTTTTTTGACAGCAGAAACTGAATATTTGTTTATATTGTTAAAAAATTTTGGGGGTCCCCTGGGTGGCTCAGTCAGTTAAGCATCCGACTTCTGCTCAGGTCATGATCTCGCGGTTTGTGAGCTTGAGCCCCGGGTCGGGCTCTGTGCTTACAGCTCAGAGCCTGAAGCCTGCTTCAGATTCTGTGTCTCCTGCTCTTTCTGCCCCTCCTCTGCTCACGCTCTGTCTCTCTCTCCTTCAAAAATAAATAAACATTACAAAAAAAAAAAAAAAAAAAAAAACCACTGTCATCTCTCTTCTGTCAGTAGCTCTGGGGCTTGTTCTTACCATTTATTGTAATTTTTCTCCTATGATCCTAACTACATAAATGTTATGTAATCTCACCTTTTCTGATTCTCCCAAGAATCCTACCAATAGGCATTTTTATATATACCCAGTTACAGAAGTAAAATCAGAGTCTCTGAGAATTTCAAGTGATTTTTTTCCATCACACGATATAACTAAGTAGAACAGCCTGGTCTGTATGAATCTGGAGCTGATGTGCTTCCTCATTTCTTTCCTGCTTTGGCTCTAGGATAAGCTGATCACTGCATTGATATTCTTTACTTTTTAATAACTGGTTGTTGACTGATCCAATGACCTTCTAGTGTTTGATATTCTTGTTTTCTTAGTGACAGCTTGTAGCCAAATATCAACTTCGCAGTCCAGGCACTATTTAGGAATGTCTAGTATGCTGGAAAAATAATGGAAATAGTTATCTTAAAGTAAGAGACAACAGATATTCGTATACATGGTTGTACATTGGTTAGTGTTATTAACATTGTAAACTGTTTTGATTAGCTCTAAGGGGCGTTCACAAAAATCAGCTTATTTTTAATTTGCCCAATAAGACCCATTATTCTTTTATTCACCTGTTTAATAAACATAGATTATGTGTATATGTACATACATATACGTAAGGATGGATAAATTTCTGCTATATGTGCAGGTGAGGACATAATCATTCTTCAAAGCTGTGTTTTGCTATCGAAAATGTCAAAAGTTGGAGGAATCATCTGGATGCCTTATGGAAAAGATTTCTGTGGGTAAAGTGCTTGGGTTTTTAAATGAGAGTAGTAATTATGATTGGTAAGGACTGCTGAATCTAAGTGACACTTTTCCTTTTTCCAGTTTGACCCACATCATAATCCTGTGAGATGAGCAGGCAGGTTACGTATGAATATCCCCACTTTACCATAAAGTCATATTCATTAGCAACAGATATGCTTTGGCAAATTGTGCTTAATCAGATTGGACCACTTTGTATGATTAATTAGCAAGTAATTAATAAAGCCCTAAGATTCTGGCAATATTCACCGTGCTGTTACTGTTCCTTACTTATGTGATTGTTATCAATTTGTACCTTCAAGTAATTGGGTCATTACCTTCTGATTCTACACTCATCTGTTCTGTGTCCTTCATCAAAGGGACTCCTTCAAACATGAATAAGGAAATCAGAAGGTAAAAACCTCTACAGGTGGATGAACGTTTGAAAGGCCACCCTGCTCTGTGTTCTTGCTAGAAAAAGAAAGTTCTTACTCGTTTCTGTTGACACAGTGGATGGAGTTGGGGGTTAGTGCCAGAGTTTCTTTGTTAAAATCCCAGACCTAGCACCCGTTATTTGCTAACCTTATCTTTGTAAGCATGAGCTTCCCATCAGTAAAATAGGGATAAGACCTAACATGGACTGTTTCTTGGGCAGTGGGCCCTGAACAATTGTTTTTCTTGTATTATTTAACTTAGTCATCATGGCAAGACTCTGAAATAGGTACTTCAAAAAAAACCCACAAAAAACGTTTGTTCTTATTTTAAAATGATGAATAAAAAAACCCCCCGACTTAACACATGCATACTTGTTCTGTGTTCACATGGAGCTTTCTCATGTATCTTTCTCTTTTATAAGGAATGAATGAACTCATCTTAAAGGCCAAGTTCATCTCAGATGTTTAAAGAAATATTTGGGGAGTAGCCATGATTTGCAAGGACCTTTTAACCTGGATGTTATTTCTTCTGTTTGCAGATCAGGCAGACTCCTATCAGGGATGGCATGCGAGTCCCCTCGGCTCCCATTCCATCTCACGGTGCACGTGATGACCGCGTCGTCATGGTCCTTTCCTCAGAAGCTGGATGTGCTTCAGAACCCTTGCCAACAGTTCACTCCTGGAAGCCAAGGCTAAGGGACCCAAGTTGGCAGTGAGATAAACTATTTCTCTACACGTGGATACCTCCATTCTTCCCCCTTATTGGAACTCTCGCTATTTTTAAGTATTTAATACTACCTTTCTCCTCCCCAATTCTTTCTGACCGCTCACTACCACCGTCAACAAACTTTGACTTTTGTGTGAGTCACAGTGACGCCAGAAACACAGAAGATAATTTTTCGTGTGGATGCACCAACTTCTTACTGACTGTTGCATTACTGTCCGCTGGTCCGAGACAAATTTTTCTTTCTCATAATTGCAGATTGCACAGGCTCCTCTGGCGGCTTTTAGCTTTTCCTTGCAAATCATGCGAAACCAAAGCTTCGTAACTGAGTTTGTCCTCCTGGGGCTTTCGCAGAATCCCAGTGTTCAGAAAATAGTATTTGTTGTATTCTTGTTCAGCTACATTGCAACTGTCGGGGGCAACTTGCTAATTGTGGTGACCGTCAGCAGCAGCCCAGCACTCCTGGGCTCCCCCATGTACTTCTTCTTGGCCTTCCTGTCCTTCCTCGATGCTTGCTTCTCCACTGTCATTGCCCCAAAGATGATTGTGGACTCCCTCTATGAGAGGAAAACCATCTCCTTTGGAGGTTGCATGACCCAGCTCTTTGCTGAACACTTCTTTGCTGGGGTGGAAGTGATTGTCCTCACAGCCATGGCCTACGACCGCTATGTGGCCATCTGCAAGCCCCTACGCTACACATCCATTATGAACTGGAGGCTCTGTACCATTCTGATGGGTGTAGCCTGGACAGGGGGTTTTCTGCATTCCATGATACAAATTCTCTTTACTTTCCAGCTTCCCTTCTGCGGCCCCAATGTCATTGATCACTTCATGTGTGATTTGTACCCATTATTGGAGCTTGCCTGCACTGACACTCACATCTTTGGCCTTTTGGTGGTCGCCAATAGTGGGTCTATCTGCATTATAATCTTCTCTCTGTTACTCATCTCCTATGTTGTCATCTTGCTCTCTCTGAGAACCCATAGTCCTGAAGGGCAGCGGAAAGCCCTCTCCACGTGCGGATCTCACATTGCTATTGTGGTCTTGTTCTTTGTCCCTTGCATATTTGTGTATGCACGACCTCCATCTTCTTTCTCTTTTGACAAAATGGTGGCTATATTTTACACCATCCTAACTCCCTTGCTCAATCCTTTGATTTACACTTTCAGGAACAAGGAAATGAAAAATGCCATAAAGAAAATGTGGAACAGAATAATGGTGGTTTGTAGTGACAAATAAAACATTGAAGTTTACAAAATATTGTAAAGAGTAAAAGAGTCAGATTTTCTAGACTAAGCCTTTGTGTGTTTGGGTCTGTTTGATAGGAGCTAATGTAATGCAATAAAAAAACCCAGTAATATGGGGTCAGGAAAAATGTTTTCACACTTAGATCGCTTATCGACTCTGATTTGGTAACTCAGTATCTTCATAGTAAAGTAAAAGCGTTGGATATTATGTTTACTTAAAATCTTAAAAAAAAAAAGATTGAAGGGAGAAATTACCTATCAGACCTGTTGTCACTCATCCCATGCTTTGGTAAGTCTTTGTGGAGACATGGCAAAAATATCTTAAGAGGTTAGAAACTTAACACTATTTCAAATGAAAAGAAGTTTATGCGTAGGGCAATGATTTCAGTGATTGAGGAATTAAACAGTCATGGGTCGAGTGGAAGAGATCAGCGCATTCTCAGAACCTCAGCTATAGGTGTTCCTGTGTCATGGGACTATGTTTTGAAAAATAGCAACTTAGATTTCATAGCTCCACTTCCCTAACCTACTCTTCATCTTTTAACTTTTTTGAGAGAAGTTATTATTTTCTGATATGCTGTATAATCTGTTTCTTTCTTGCTTTCTTTCATCAGCCTTCTCTTATCGACATATTTAACTTATTATTGAAAGAGAAGTTATTTTCACATATGCTACATAATCTTTCTTTCTTTCTTTCTTTCTTTCTTTCTTTCTTTCTTTCTTTTGTCAGCCTTCTCTTATGGATTATAAACTCAAGTGAGGCAGGGAAATTTTCCCCTCTTGGGCTCATAATGTATCATTAGCATCTTGAACAGTCTGAGGTAGGAGTTCAGTAAATATTTGTTGAATAAGTGAATAAATGAGATATCTTCCCATATTCACATTTAAATATATCTTTAACATTAACACACTCAAGTGTCAAATTTGGCAAAGGAGTGTGGTTATTGCTGATACGAGCTCTTAGCTCTTAATTCTTAATTCTTGACATACATAGAGCATTTAAAATAAATTCTACATTCTAGCAAATTTCCCCATGTTTAAAATCTAAATATAATATCTCAAAATTCAAATAGAAAATAAAGCCATTATTCTCTATCCACTTTCTCATTTTCATTCTCTATCCCTTCTTCCGTTCCCTGCAACAATAAGTCTTGCTCTCAGTGATCTGACTTTTATTCATAAAATATTTATGATCCCAATAAAGTCATCTATTGCCTCAAATTTGCAATTTATTAGTTGGGTTTATCTAGCCAGAGTTTCTGAATTATCCCCTGGAAACCTTACCTTAGTAAGATACAAATTTCAATGAGCAGAGTTTATTTTTTTTTTTAATTTTTTTTTCAACGTTTATTTATTTTTGGGACAGAGAGAGACAGAGCATGAACGGGGGAGGGTCAGAGAGAGAGGGAGACACAGAATCGGAAACAGGCTCCAGGCTCTGAGCCATCAGCCCAGAGCCCGACGCGGGGCTCGAACTCACGGACCGCGAGATCGTGACCTGGCTGAAGTCGGACGCTTAACCGACTGCGCCACCCAGGCGCCCCTCAATGAGCAGAGTTTAAATAATCCTAAAATGAAGCCAGAGGTGGCTCAAACTAGTAAAAACCTCAGCTAGCATTTGTTCTGTTTCCACAGTTCCCATGATGGAGTGAGCATAGCCAAGTGCATTCAGCAAACCCTGCCATTGTTTTGACAGGACCTGGAATCCAGATCTCATTTAGTCCTTTGGTCTATAAGGAATTTAATGCGTGCTAAGGGTCAGTTCACTTAGAGATGGAAGAAACTTCAAGAGATCATTGACTTGGCTTCTTGGCTTTGACCGCTTCAAAGATCTCCTTGGAAACACCCTCTGCAAAAATTTCCCACCAGCACTGGAGAGCTTAATCCTCCTTCAAATGTAAGGAGTTAAAATGGGGCTTTTTTGATTGGGAGGTTTAAGGCAGGGGCTCTTTCATTGCTTGCTCTTGTTTCCCAGCCTAAGAAATCTTATGACATTCCTGTGCACATCATATGAAAATAAAAGAAGTTTAGACTTCTACTTAAGAGATGTGGATTCTAGGCTCATTTCTGTTGCTTCTGTAACCTGTTGCTTCTGTTCTGTAACCTTCATGAGTTATTTCACTTCTCTGGTGCTCAGTTCATGTTTAAGCAGGAGTAATAAAAACACATGAATATTTCTTCTGTGCTTCTGCGAGCCAGGGACTCATTGTTTTCCTATGTTATATATTTTAAGATTTGCAGAAACTTTTTTTTAAAGGTAGGTCTTCATATTACCGTTTAATTTATGGGGCAGCAGAGGCTCTAAGACTTTAAGTGACAGACCAAAAACCTTCCTCAGGATTCTTCTAGTCCTTTTCTAATACAACAGGCCAGGTGTTGGGGTGTGATTTTCTCTCAGACGTTTCTGTGAGACACCAGGCCTTGCTGGTTGCCACTAGACCTTTCAGCAAGAGTTCAAAGCATTGTGAAATCTTTTGTAGTGTTCTCCTACCTCTCTTTCTGTCACCACCCTCTGTCATTCCCCTGTCACCTGAATGGATCACTTCATCCTCACTGAAGGTGCCTAGTGGACAGTGACGTGCCTGGCAGGAGATTCTAGAGCAGAGTGCTGGGTTGTAACATGATTTGCTTTGTGAAAAGTATTGTTTTAATGTAATTTATCCCATCTTTAACAGCTTGTAACCATTCACAAGCAACTTTCTGTACATAAGTGGAAGGGCATGAATCTTTAAAAACAAAAAGAAAATACAGAAGACCTATATTCAAAAATTCTTATTCTCATCTCATTCTCTGCATTGACTAAAAAATATAGGTAAGATTAAGAACTGGGGAGAACTGAACACTAATGTTAAAAATAAATAAATAATGATTACCAGTTGACTTTTCCTAAGAGAACATTGGAAATTAAAGAGGTTGAGAAACTTGCTTAAAATCACATAGCAGATAGTGTTGGGGCCAGGGCTCACGTCTGTCTATCTGACATGTATCTATCTGAGCCTTTAAATGACATCAATGACTTTCATGCTTCTAGAAGAGATGAGCTTAAGCAAATCCTATGGAGAAGTGAACAGACTTTCCTAACCTGCAATCATAGTGAGTTGTAGCTAACTAATTGGCCCCAAAGCATACATTTGCCCTTGGACTATCTGAATGAGGTAGCTCATTGGACATCCTTTGGGACTGGGTTAGGAGTAATGGTTTTCCTGGAAGTCTTGAGGCTGAAAGCCTGTCTTAGGCATTTGCAGACTTACGTGGGAATTGTCGTAAATACCTAATAGCATAAGAAGAAAATGCTTACCTCATTTGTATTCTCCAAAAGAAACTCTGGGAAGAGAGGCTGCTTCAGAGGCATTTCTCTCTCAGAATGCAGGAATAAGTTCCTCCATAAAATTTTGAAGGGCTGAATTAAGAAACTTTTCTTTTTCACCACCCCCTCCCTTCCTCCAATATAGACCTTGTTGTTTTTGTTGTAGTGCTTCCGGGGAGGAGCTGTGTCATGTGTGGCCACATGCAGAGTCCCCTTCCTCCATAAACTCTCTCTACCCCATCACCTCTTGTGATAAAAAAAAAAACAAGGATAAGTGTCAATGAAGTATGGTTTGCATGTGATATTCAGGCTTCATATGATTCACTTTCTAAGCAAATGGAAGTTGAAGATACAAGAAAATATACTACATTGGAAGTCATCTATTTCCTCTTAAGCAAAGGGGTAAGTTTTCCAGCCTGTCTGAGATGTTTTCTTCATGTTGCATCTTCAAGACTGATCTGATATCAATACTCAGCGTGTCTTCTAACAAATGATGAAGTTCCTGGACAGTATTTCCACCCATGAAGGGTTGAGGTTGTCCAGGGTTCCTAAGACTTTCCTGGCCTCAGCACAGAGTTATACTGACTTTCAGATAATCTCTGCTTAATGTAGGGGGTGAAGAACGATAAACTGCACCATGGCATTGAGGCCAACTTGGCTGAAGTTTCTACTTTGCAGGTCCTCTGATTTGAAAAGTTTTAGGTCACTGGTGATGTTTCTGGAATGGAGTATAAGATAGGAGTGGCCCTTCTCTACACTTGGGGTTTCAAGAACCTTGTTAACTCTTGCTAACGACCCAAAACTGCACTCTCTGTCTTTTGTTGGGGGGCAAGTGATAGTGTGGTGGGTCAGGAATAAAGAAGCTAAACTCTCTGATGAAAACTTGGGTGAAATGACCCTCTCCAACATTTTTTTGCTCACCTCTCCTCTATACATCTTTTGAATCTTATCCCCTGTTTCTTCTCTCCCTGATGTCTGCTCATTGTCACTCTCCTCTCTCCTGTTCTCTTTTCTGTCTTTGCCCTTCGCTATTATTCATTTGGATATCTAATTTTCCTTTTGCCATGAAGTTTACAGAACCTGATTTTGGAGTTGGGAGCAGGAATTAAGGTATCACTTGGCATCCTTCCCTGATGGCTCAGGATTTATCTTCTCTTGGATGCAATCTACATGGTGATAGGGATTTGATACATTATATGACCTGGAGGGTGAATGATAGAGAGACTTCCAATCTAGTAGCCTCCCACTCAAGTTCTAGCCTGGTTGTACTCAGTGAAACTTTCTGTATCATACCTGAAACTTTGCACATAGAGTTTTTTGTACATAGGGCAAGTGGCCACACCTACATTGTAGGAAAATGTGCAGGTCAAATAAAATAACAAAAGTGGAATATCGTATGAATGGTAAGATTATAGAACACGAATAATGTATAATCTAAGATTGCCTTGTTCAGTTGCATATAAATATAAATATATATATACATTTTAAATATATTTCTTATTTAATTTTTTTAATGTTTATTTTTGAGAGAGAGAGAGAGAGAGAATGACCAGGGGAGGGGCAGAGAGAGAGAGGGAGTCACAAAATCCAAAGCAGGCTCTGGGCTCTGAGCTGTCAGCACAGAGCCCGATGTGGGGCTTGAACTCACGAACTGTGAGGTGATGACCTGAGCCTAAGTCTGATGC